ACGTTAATCAAAAAAGGGTAAGTTAATGGAAATAATTAACTCAAGCTAAGAAGGAACATTGTCCATAAATTAACAGTCAAAATTTAATAAATTATAAATTAAACTAGTTAAATAAAAAGTTAAGTTAAATATTTGTTTTTAACTTAACTCGGTTTAAAAAATGTTATTCAATCCATTAAGTCCTTAATTAATTTTTGGCCAAAATCCCTTTTTTTTTAATTGGTGATGCTAGGGAGGCTGTAAATCAATTTTCAACTATTAAACTAAATATAAATAAAAATGCTAGTGATAATAAATTTTTTTTTTTTTGTAGCCTAACATCGTTTTGCACATTTCAGTGTTGGATGTACTGTAAAACTATAGTTATTATTCAAAATGCCAACAAAAGAGTTAGAGGGTCGCATAATGAAATAATTTTTTTTTCTTTCTGATTTCTAATGAGCAACACTAATACAAGTATAGAGGCTTAGTGCCAAGTTTAAAAATTCCTACTTCCGAAAAAATTAAGAAAAAAAATTACTATTGTATAAATATATTTTTTACATTAAGAGAAAATTCAATTTAACTCCGCTTCATACTAGGTCTATTAATAAGTAATTTTAATTACAATTTATACTGTACTTTTTTGTTTAAACTAAATATTATTAAATTTCGAATTTAGCTAGTTTATTATTATCTAATGAACTGAAAAATACTAAGTTATTTCAACGGTTAATTAAACTAGTTAAGTTTAAAAGCTTAAAATAAATAAATTTTTTTTAACTTTTTAACTAGTTGATGCCCACATTTACCAGTAATAATACGAGTATTAATATAGCTTACTTAAACACATGTAAAATTTATTATGTATTAATCTCTGCAAAATTCATCTAAAGAAATTATATGATAGCATTTTAACATTAACAAATATATACTTCTTTTATGTGCAGAAAAATGTTTGTAGTGCTTTAGAGTATAATTTTTCAAATTTTAAAATGATATCTGCGTATAAAAACTGTCCAATCATTAAAATATTGATTAAAAATTGTCACAATGAAACCGATTATTGAAAAAGATTAATAAAACAAAACATTCGTACTCTATATCCAATGTTCAATTTTCCATTTTTTTTTAAGGAAATAGCTAAAATTCTGGTAATAGATAAATTAAAATTTATGTAATTTATACTGAGCTACAAGAATTATTATTTTTACATATCAAAATACAATATAAAATTATAATTTCATTTGATGTTTGAACTTTGTTAAATATATTATCTAGCACATAATTTACAAATTTTTACTTTTTATTGTTTAGTGTAAACAGATTATTTAATTTACTTGTTCTGAATATTATATTCAATAAACTATATTTTCAAACTAATTAAATTAAATTTTAGTGAAATATTGAATTGGCATCATTTTTTAAAAATGTATGATTAATTTTTTTTATGTATTTGAATACATAGGATTTATTTATTAATATTTATTTTATAAATGATTGATTTTTCTACAGTAATAGGCCATTGAAGCCATAATACCTAAGATAATGGCTTCCATCTATCATGAACATTTTCTATTCTATTCAAGTTCTCATTTTTAAACTATTTATTTTAATCTGTTTTCATTTTGATCGTAGATTTCTTTCAGATTTTACGTTTTACACCCTTTTCTTTTGTACCAGATATAGCAATAAATCTTTCTTCCAACTTTAACAGCTACGTTTTATCTTATTAAAATTTATAAGTGAGTATGTAAAATAAAAATAAAAAATGTGTTAAATTTTTTTTAGTGTTTTAATTATAAATGTACTATTCCACTTTGATTGAAAAGTGAGTAATACTTATGCGGACAAGTTACTTATAAATCAAGAAATAACTAATGTTGGTTTGCTAAATTGAATAGAAAACAGTAACTTTTTCAGTAAAATTAATGTAGGATGTAATCGCACAATCAGCAAATATTACAAAAAATAGTTAATATAAAATTTTAAGTCATGGAATTTCAAATAATAAATAATTTCAAATAATTTTTTTCGTATTCTTACTTCTTATTAAATTTAAACTCAACAACCTAATGACGATTTATACAAAAGATGTAGCTTATACATCAAGAAATAAATATAATATTTTTTTCAAATTTGTTAGTATTTTAGGAAAAATTTAGTTATAAATCAATCAATCAATGTTTCTCGATTCATAAATTATTAAATACTGTTTCGGTTCATCTCTTAAATTTTATTTTATATATAATATATACTTATACAGGGTGGCCCACCACTCACTGACAACTTAAATAACTTTTGATCCAGTTAATATTTTTAGTTGATTTTTTTTTTAAATAATAGTTATACATTAGGTCTATAGGTATATCTCAATAATTAATTTTTTTATATTTTATTAAAAATATTATTTATTTTTAAATTTTAAATAAAATGTAAAAAAAAAATCTAAGATAGCTATTTTGTAGAGTAGAATTTAAGAAAAATTTTAGTAAAAAAATATCTTATTAATATTGAGTAATAAATATTCTGTAGCGTTTTGAAGTTTGTGAAAATTTGAATTTTCATGTATTATTTTACGGTATTAAACATTGAAATACGTATTGAGAAAAGGACAGAAGAAAACGCTATCTTTTCATGATTACTGTGTATACATATGATGATAATGTGTATACATTACAAACATGGCATTAATACCATGATAAGAAATTAGATAAGGCAATTATTACTTATCACTCTCATTCAAAAGTATATTGAAAAGATAGCGTTTTCTTCTGTCCTTTTCTCAATACGTATTTCAATGTTTAATACCGTAAAATAATACATGAAAATTCAAATTTTCACAAACTTCAAAACGCTACAGAATATTTACTACTGAATATTAATAAGATATTTTTTTACTAAAATTTTTCTTAAATTCTACTCTACAAAATAGCTATCTTAGATTTTTTTTTTACATTTTATTTAAAATTTTAAAATAATTAATATTTTTAATAAAATATAAAAAAATTAATTATTGAGATATACCTATAGACCAATGTATAACTATTATTTAAAAAAAAAATTAACTAAAAATATTAACTGGATCAAAAGTTATTTAAGTTGTCAGTGAGTGGTGGACCACTNTAACTGGATCAAAAGTTATTTAAGTTGTCAGTGAGTGGTGGGCCACTCTGTATATATCATCTGAATAATTAATTCAAAAGTTGTTTTCGGTCAGTCATTTCCTAATTAAGACATTATCTAATGAACAAGCTAGTTAAGTACACATATTGTCGTATGAAAATAATAAAGTTAACATCCTTATAAGGTATAAGGGATGATTATTAAAATACTTTACGATTGATAAATCGAAAACTAAAAGAAACCAATTAAATAATAAAATAATTATTATTTTTCAATTAATTAGTTGGTTCATGATAAAAAAATTCATTCTCTATTGTTTTACATATAAAATACAGCAATATTAATATTTTTCGTTATTCGTATAACATTATTCGTATGTTAATTAAGACAAATCTTAAATATATATCGAAGAAAGGATAAAAATTGTTTTATGCATGCTTAAGGGAAAATATTTAAAAGTTGCTATTAAACTTATGCAAGTGTATAGTAAGTTAATCATGTCACATTATTTTAGCGTTACGATCCATCACCGTATTTGACACAAGGTATATTTTTAAACGCTTAGTTATACTTAAATTTAAAAGTTAATTTAGCTGACTCGCACGCCTTTCTTTATTTCTTCCTCTACTATAATATTATTTTCTTATCGTCCCCTTTTACGTTTAATGCGCATTGTAAATAGTACTCCTGATTTCAATCACTCTTTGTAAATTTTGTGTTTATGTGGTCATTTAGCCAATTTGTAAAATTAATTGCCAATTTTCAGTTGTAAGTTCGTGTATTGTAATTGCTCATTTTTAATTACTCAATGAGGTTTGTGTAATTACTTTTGTGTATATACATTACATTTTCCTGTTTTCTAATTTTTAGATATGATAAGTGTATTTCTGTGTCTTTGATTTTACTATTTTATTATTTTTATCTGCTGCTAGTGCTTAATGATTTTCATTAAACTAAGCTGCCATAAATTATTATTTTGGGTTAACGCCCGTATTGTGTATAAAATAAATAAATTGTCATCGTAGTAAAAAATCATTTACCTGAATTAAAAATTTTTATACCGAGAATAGAGAATTTTTTTTTAACATTACTTGAACAAAAATTTACTCATTAAAATTTTTTTTGCATTATCTGGCACCTAGCTCGATTATTAATCAAAAAAATACATAAATTGTCCTCTGACATAACCACTCATCATTGAAGTGTTCAAAAGAAAATTGTGTGTAATTATTCATTGTCTCCACTGATAAATTATTAGTCTCACCAGCTGGTCATATTTTTATTCTCTTGTCCGTTTACTAATCCATTAATATAGTTATTTTTTATGCAGTTTATTTGCACTTCATAAGAGTATGTCAAAGGCGTGCATAGCAAATGCAAACAATGAAAGAATCTGTATTCTGTCTCATAAAACTTACCGCTGTAAATATGTTTGCTGAGATACAAAAGTCATATCCGTTTATTGAATTTTTAAACGTAATTTCTGTAACGATACAACGTATCCGGTGCGTAATAAGTTGGCGATTAATCTTTTTCAGAAAATCATCTGCAATGCTTAACATAAATACTACATAGTATACGCAAAACGTTAGAAGAACCGCTACTAAGCTTTTGCGTTGTATACGTAACCTTGTTCATATTTTTTCGTTTTTGTTTGTAAAAACATGTGTAATGGTTCATTCTCATTAATTTAAACTCTCCGGTCAAATCCGAAGTCTCGGACAAGCAATTTGAGCATCACGTCTCCGGAAATAAATCGTTCTACGAAAAATTCACGCGCTTTGTGTCTCGCTGGCACTTGGAGTTTGGTGAACTCATTATCACATGTTCGGAGTAATCATCATAGTAGTAATACTTTTATAAAAAATTGTGCCCCCAATCATTCGGCTTAAAGAAACCAGCCGGCACAGTTCCATGCGCAAACTCTACTTCGACATCACGTTTAACGCTGTCGGTCAACAGCTGGTACCGCCGACACGCCGCAGTTTAGCTTTCGATACCCGTTAAAACAGAATAGGCGCACAATAATCATCAGACAAAATATTTTTTCATGTAATACATTTTTAATGTTCAATCATTTATTTGATAAGCATTCAGAAATTCTCTGTAGGAAATATAGAGTGACCGTAAAATTTTCCAGTTTCTGAAGCACACTTTATGATTGGTTAACAATCCTTTTAGAGTTATCAATTCCATTAACGGGATTGTTAATTGAGTAAGTAACATTATAATAATTACTAATAATAAAAAAAAATTTTATATGCTTATCAGGCTATACAATAAAAATCAATTACCTCTTAATTAAAAATAAACAGTTACTTAAATGTTTTTGATTTAAAAATATAGATTTCTTTGTTCAAATTATTTACAAATTTTAGTTTCGATGCGAAGCTGAAAAGGTTTTAATTTTAATATGATGTGTTTTTTTATGTCTGTTTCCACTTATTCTCGCTTTAATCGAACCGATTTCTTTCAATTACGTCAAAAGATCATACATTGTATCTAATCGAAAACATTAACCTTAAAAATTAAAAAATTTTTCTCTCGTTCCCCTTAATTAGGGAAAATTTCCAAAAATTACAATTTTAAAAATCGGTTATTTTCGACATTTATGAAACTTTTTTATTTAAAACTGTCATAACTTGAAAATGGATAGATAAAGTAATTTTTTTTTATATACCTTAGGTATTTATCTATCATTTAACAGATTTTCATCGAAGCGTTCCTTATGATAATGATTTTAATCACTGTCAGATATTATCTATACTTGTCTTTTACAGATATTATATATTACCCAATTATGCTACATCCTCACTGTGCTACCAATTTTTTTATAATTAAGGCTAAACTTAAAGACCAAGAAAATTTGTTTTAAACTTATTTAATACTTTAACGTATTTAATTTGTAAAATTCGTGGAAAACAAGGGATTCATTTTTCAGTGTATTTTGTTTTAGCTATTATCAAAATCTCTATTCTATATTTTGTATAAATTATGTAAATGTTTTATTATGTAAACATAAATATTAAAATCAAATTCGTTTAGGACAAACACGCAGTCATCTGTTGCACATAACTAAATAGTTTCCGGGGCACCGACACTAGCCGTTATAATATTAGTACTGTCCGATTTAATAATACATTATTTAAACAACCAATGAAGGATTATTGTTCCGACTTCGCGTGTCTATGTTTATATTTTTAGGTACTGTGTTTTTAAAAATACATTCTCAACTGGCATCGGTGCTTCTGCTGGTCGTCACATTGACAGAACTGAAGTTGCTCAACAGTTTGTTATATAGTAAAATAAATCTTTAACTTGACTTTTAAATTTTAGTACAGTTATTACAGAATAACAGTATACAAATAGGCATAATTATGATCTGAAAATTAACTATGTTTTTTGGTAATTTTAAATGGTTTTACGTTTTTGTCATTTTTCATAACTCCACCTTTGTTGAGCAAGTGAAAATTTCAATCACATAACGGTCGACATAATTTATTGAAAATAAACAAAAGTTCAATTACTTTAGTTGGTTAACTAGTGTTCGAATGAGGGCGACAATTTGTTAACACTTCAAGAAAACGGTAAATTAGTAGCATAGTGAGGTGATTACACACATTACCTTGGTTTTTCGATTGATATATGTAATCAATGCTTTATGGAGTATTGTTTTACATACTCTTTTGATTAACAAATATTGTATAAGATGGAAAATTAATTAATAAACTTTGGCATAATTACAAATACTGTAAGTGTTAAAATGTTTTTATGTAAATAATCAAATGAAAATTGAAGAGTTAAGTGAATAAAGGCCTTAACTTACACTTCAATTTTTTTCTAGGAAACAGTTTCCTCAAATATTTTTCACAAGACTAAAATATAAGATATAATTTTTAAAACAGTATTGTTTCGAAAATATTAGTGCGATTGGTCTTATATTTTATTTTAATACAATTCTACTATGTATGTAATAAAATCACTTTTCTGAACAATTTTGTTTTACACCTCTATCCACTCAACCTTAATACATCCTAAGATGAGATTCATTTATCTGTTAAATGTTATTGTTTTCCTTGTTATCACTACTCATGAGTAAGTCTACATAAGTGTCTAGTGGTTCAAAGAGTACATTTACCCATAATTTTAGGTGGTATTGGGTTTTTATATTGTTTTTTTATGATTTTTTGCCCAAGGTCAACACGTTTTCCCACTTAACCTCAACCTAAAATTGTAACATGCCAAAATGTCCATCTACAATCAGTGTGCAAAAAAATAATGTGTATAAATTCTATGCATTATAATGTTTAATAGTGTTGCGTGTTTATGCCAAAAATAATTTTCGCTTAATTTCAATACACCAGTAGTAACGATATGCGAATGTTCGCAGTAATCAGCGAGTGTCTTGTGTATCCACCAGCAATTATCATAGAGCGCATCTACGGATTACATGTTTTCACTATGGTTTCTTCGTATGTATTTTCATCGCAGAGCTCGGTATTAATCTTTCTTGTGACATTTACAATAAAAAAAATTGTTCTCTTATATATTCTTAATTAACTAAATAAAGCAAATATTTGATGGCGCTGTGTAATCGCAATAAATTTAAAAATAATCGAATTCTGAACTGTGCTGTTAATTTGCGTGCTTACTATTAAGTTTAATCTAATTTTTTAAATTTCTATGCTTTGTTTTTTTGATACACTCCAATGCGTATTGTGTTTACAAGTCTTCTTACTATATAACTGAGATGTGCCAGAAATAAACATGTTGAATTTAACTTTTAATTAAATCTGTCGGCTCAATCTCGAGAATTGATTCAGTTTTCTTAACTTAATTGTCCATTTCACCAAAATAAAGTTTTTATTTTTCAGGCAGTTAATGAATGTGTTCACTACTTTATTTTTTTAATTAAAACTTGTTACAATTGCACTATTGTAGTATACTCAAATATATATATATATATATATCAAAGTTTGCTTGTGTAAAACGTAAAATGGTTTTTAATTTTTTATTTAACTTGCAAAATATTGTTATTTTTCTCTAGAACATCATATTAAGTCATACGTACATTAATTTCTCTAAAACAAGCTATTAAAAAGAGAATATTGATATACACTTTTAGTATTTAAACTATTCTAATTCTTTTAAATCTTGCTCGCCTATTAAAACATTAATTAATTTAGTAAATCATTCTTCAAAATTCCAACCTATACTAAACTTTATAAAACTATTAAAAAGACATTTCATAGTATTTGGATCAATGTTTTACGAATAAAAAAATGCATTATATTATGTTTATGTCTATAAATGTGTGATTAAATTTATGCGCACGACATACAAATCACGCACACTAACCAAAATTTTCGTTGTCGTATTTAAAGTTACACAACATTGGTTATTTTATTTTTTCTATAAAAATTCGATTTTTGTTTTCAGCGAAAAAATAACTAGCAGTTATATTTAAGCAATTATTATGGTTTTATATATTATTATCGTTGTATATTGAAAGTAATCATTATTTGGTAACATTGTATTGAAATTATATAGAAAATAAATATAACCATAAATTCGTATGTATTTCGGCGAGTTGTTGTAATCAATGAAATTTATGTCATTGCTAGGTCCATCGTGAGATAATGGCCGATGACAATGGTTACTTGTTTACGACAACTCAAAATAAAGCTAGGTCAGCTTCCATTTGTGCTTTTGGTTTTCCTCCTAGTAGTACTGAACATTTAATGGCATGTGCTACAGTTTCTACTCCACCACCTCATCGACATGTAAGCTCCAGTCCGTTTGCAGAAGACAAACGCCGTCGACCTGCAGCTCGATCACAGAGCGCTCGTACAACAAGCAACCGGTCTATACGCAAAAAAGCACTTGTGACAGCTGCTTCAGTAGCTCATAATCACGAACTTAGTGACAGTAATACCAGTGTAAGGTCAGGCTATAGTGATCCAAGACTACACGAGTCTTCCATTCAAGGTAAGCTAAGTGTACATATTATATTTAGTAAGCACAATGCTATCGTTGTAAGTAAAAGTAGAAAACTCATAAAATTTAACTAGTAACAGTTTGTGAGTTTATTGTTTAGCCTAAGAATAATAGTGTTTTCTTCTAAATAACCATAATTTTGATTGAGTTTATCAAACGTTCTGATACAAAGTATGTACTTATACGAATCATGACAATATAGTTACATCAATATACTCAAGACGACTATGTCTTTCTTTTTATAAAACATTAACTGTACAAAAACATATCTGAACATTATTTAGTTTTCAAAATGTTTTGTAGTAATTAAAATTAGAATAAAAAAAAAAAGTAAAGGATGATGTTCAAAAGCTTTGTTATATTGTGATACTGAAATGTAAAAAATAATGGTCTTAAGTGAAGGGCTAAATGTGGTAGAGCTCTAGTGAATAACTACGTATAATTAATTGTTCATTATTTTGTCGGGATCTTGGTTCGAGAATTTAAAAATAACAGGATATTAAAATAAATAATTTACGATATGAGATTATTCTGTTGATATGTTAAATTGTAAGAATATGGTTTCATCTGTGTTAAGTGACCCCGAGTGGCGTCGGCAAGAGTCTCACTCCCAGGACTTTTAAAATGTGTGTGTACTATGTATTCTTATAATATGATAAAATTGATTACTATTATATGAATTATTTCTACTACTCATAAAGCCTTATTATTTATATATGTAATATTATATATATTTGTAATATGCTTGAGTATTACAATTGTTTAAAACCTATCAGCTAGGAAACAGAAAAAGCAAATTATATAATAAGAACAGTCATAGTAAAGTATGTAGGATATTTAAAATTGTATTTGTTGTGAAAGGATTGGGTCACCGTGATTAAAATACTCAATGACTTGAAAACTTTTCAACAGAAATTATTAATGAACGTAGAAAAATATAGGATTATATAAATTATTTTTAGATACTTCATCATACATTACGACGTGTATTTTTATTATTATACTACTTTCCTTAGTTTATCTCAAATCAATTTATAAACATCAATGAAATAAAAAAAATAAAACACACTAAAATCTTCCATAACGTGTATTTTTAAAAATTCAATGCGTTTTTGATGAAAAATCTATACTTGTTTGTGATCAAAGGAAAAACCATAAGAATATAATGTTTTGTATATGTTCCATAAAAGTTTTTTTAAAAACTTTGTGTTACTTACTATTTTTCTAAACGATTACTCTAACTAACTCTACTAAGAACTAGAATAGTACTGACAGTGGTAGCCAAATGGGAGATAATAAGAGTGATAGATCCCTCCATGACATTCCCTTTTTGACATTTTTTTAGAATTTTCACTATATATAATTTATATTTTTAAAATTTTATATATGATAGTCTAATTTTCATTGAATATAATTGATATAAAAAAATTATTAATCCTAAAAATTTGATTAATTAAATATTAGTTATTGTTTATAAGTAGGAAATTTCAATAAGGTAAGTACTATTTTAAAATAAATTAAACATAAAAATAGGATTAATAAGATAAAATATTTATATATATATATATATAATACAAATTAAAAAATTTCTGTAGTATGGAGAAACAGCTCAAATTTATATAATAAATTTAATCATAAAGGTTTTTTCTTTATTACAAGATAAAATTATTTTTAACAGTCATTTTATTTGTATTTATTTTATTTTGTCCTGTCTACTTAAATTGTAATAATGTATTATTGAAGTCAGGTCAAGCAAATGAATCTTTAATCTTGAAAACTTTTTTATTGTTGTTGTGTTTTAGAAACAGTACTAAACTTATAATAATTTAAAAGAACTATTGTACATGTATACTGCATAATGATTTAAAAACCTATAACTGATTGAATCAATATTTAATACAAAATATCATTTATAATTCAATATAAAAGTAAACAATTATCAAAAAATTATTAAAATACTGTTTACAAACTGATGTACATATGAGACTATTGAATAAATATATTATCAGTAATTTTATTATATTAATATATAAGTAGACAATTTATTTTCTAGCAAGTAAATGAGAGTGGTCGTTTACCGCCCAATGGGTATTGAAACGCTTATATTGATATCTCACCTTAGAATTAACTTTAAAAAAATATATCAAGATTATCAAATTTTATAACTTCTTCAAAATAATGGCTCCCATTAGTTATATTAATAATAATTCACTATTATATATATTGTAAGAAATTATTAAAAAATTCCCATATCTCGGCATGATACTTTTAATATTCAAGTTACTTTTATACACAAGTAATGTAATTATAAGATAAAGTATCGGAAATTCGTACACAAATAAAACATTTTTATTACAAAATTTTCTCTTATATTGTATGAGTTAAAATATTCCAGTAAATGTGGACAAAAGTTCAGACATACTTTTTTTAAAAATGTAATGTTATTCGCTGATCTTGAAATAAAGTTATTTTTAGCTTCGATGCAAAGCGGAGAAGGTATTAATTTTACTATGATGTGTTTTTTTTTTTTTTTTTTATGTCTGTTGCCACTTTTTCTCAGCTCTCACTGGACCGATTTCTTTCAAAAATACGTCAAAAGATCACAAATCGCATCTAGTTGGAGACATTACCCTTAAAAATTGAAAAAAATTCCCTCGTTTCCCGTCAATGGGGGAAATATGCAAAAAAATTACAAATTTAAAAATTGCTAATTTTCGAAATTTTTTTACTTTTTTTTCTTAAAACATCCATAACTTTTTGAAAAATATACAAATCAACATAATTTTTTTTTATACTAAAACCTTAGATATTTTCCTTTCATTTGATATCATTTTTTTGAAAATCTAACACTTAACCTGCTCATTGAAGGAGATTTAAAATAGCAACTATAAAATAAAAAAAAAAAAATTGTCCCGACGACCTATCTTCTATGCGCAAATGGCTACCATATTCAAAAATATGCTACTTTAACAAATTTTTTTTTTTTAATTAAACACTATCTACAGATTTGCATCGAAGCGCTTTTTATGATAGTGATTTTAATCACTGTCAGATATCATCTATACTGGACCCAACTATGCCACGACCCCACTGTGCTGGGTTTTTTTATTTTTATTTTTTTTTACGTTATAAAAATGAAAACGTTAACTGTATAATTAAGTTATAATTTTTAAATAATTAAATCGTTATGGATTTGAATGTGTTAAAGCTTTTATGGATTGTCCTTGTTGCTTAAAGTGCTTAAGGATGTATCCATATTTACAGTTGAGTTCTGATGTTTTGGACTTATTGCAGAGTCTATCTTCAAAGTGACGGTTAACAGTCAGTGGCTGCAACTATACTGACGGCTTATCTTAATAACAGTCGGCTTTTATACAAATGAAAACATCTAGTTTTTGACTAACGTTGTCGACCGTATCCGAGTATTTTGACTAACGTTTTGACGTTTTGGATTTATAATATTTTCTGTTTTGGTCGTTTAAACAATATCAATTTGTTATGTTTTACGTTTTTCGGTATTTAAATGTTACTGATTTTTTGTTTGACATTTTGCATTATTTAAACGTTAATGATAATTTCTTTACCTTATTAGGAATTTACCCATCATTGTTCAAATGTACACGTGTGACTTTCTTTCACTTAATTTTTATTTTGAGAAACAATGGTTTGCTTTTAGTTTTATTTTTCCGAATTTCACTATACTTTATAAGTTATAACGAATCATCAATATGTGTTTCTATTTCATTTGAAATTATGTATTGTTTGTCGTTATTATATTTAATTTTTAATAGATAACTTTTTTTTTACCTTTTACGATTACATTCATTTTTGGTAGTTATAATGTCATAATCATACCGTCATAAAAACGGTTTGGTTGGGTTTGGTTTGTTCATATAACTTTTCTAACATTTTCATTGAACTTAGTTTTTTTTCCATATATATTTCAGAATATATTTTATTCTTAAATATATACTTTAAAATTAACACGAAATTTTATTTTATATTTTTGAAATATAAGAATATTATTGGTAATGATTATTGGAAACAAAAAGGTAACCAAAATATTAATTTATCTTTGTGTAATACTTCTATACTTAAAAAGCTAAATTTCATATTTTCTTGCATCTATAATTAAATTTTTTAATTTTTGGCACCATAACCAGTACACATGGGTAGGTTTATCAACTCATATGACCCAAATTAATTTTTACTAAAAATTAAATTTCACCTAACTCCTTAATGTTTGGCAAAAAAAAATTTAAACCATGAAACTTTTTTAGTCTATCAACTAAATTAATTACTCATTAAAATTTTGTTTAGTAAAATGTTCCGTTTATTAAACTACCTTTTTAAATTTGCATGTTCTTGTAGTTTATTAGACAATTAAATATGTCTCTTTTTACGAATTAATTCAATTAACTTTTCTAAGAAAATATATATAATTGAAAATTCATTTAGTAATACAATAAACAATTAAATTTGTCGTCTAAAAGTAAACAATTTTTTCTTTTAGAGAAGACGTTCTTTTATTTGTATAATAGAGTTTTTAAAGTTGGTTAACAATTAGTTAATGAGACTTCATAGTACTTTTATTTTCAACAGACCATTCATTCGATTAATTATATACGAAGAATAATTTTCTGATACTTTTTGCAGTGAAATTGTTTTTATTCTATTATTTCGAACAAATAAAACCATCAAAACAAAAAAATAATGTAATTTATTTCAGTATTTACAGTTTTAATCTTTAAATCAAAACAGAACAAAATAGATAAAATCTTAACATTTAATACAAAATAATTTTGTATTATTTTATGCTATTTTGGTACAGAGTATAAAAATATACTTACATCTTTAGAAGATTAAATGTTTTGAAGATTTATTTTCAAGTACTGAATAATATTAATTTTATTATTACAATTTTTTTTTTATGTTATTATTCAAAACAACTTTTTGTTAAAATGATTCCAAACAACTAATTAAAATATACA